ACACATACCCTCATTACAGCTTGGGCCCCTAAGGCAAGCTTTCCCTAATATTCTCTGAGGCTATGTTAGGCACCAGGCCATCCACTATCATAGCTCATTTTCTCTGGGCTGTGCCCATCTGCCCAGGCCCATTCTCATAATGCGCCAGATGGGAAGGAAAGACAGAAGCCATCTAACATTAAGGGAAATCAGCTTCTAAGCCCAGCTTTACCCTGATTTAGCATAAGGCTTTGCGTGGTCGCTTTCCCATCTGTAAAATGGGGCACCCTGTGCCACTCCATCCGGGAAGAGAAACACTGTGGAAGAGGAATTTCCTTCTACCCTGGGAACGGTGACCCTGCTCCCCCAGGCATCCCCATCCTCAAATCCACACCCATCAGGGCACCATACCTGTGATTTGGTTGAGCCAAGGCATCTAGAAGAGGGGGTGGCTTTGGGAAGATGTGCATCAACCTCTGATGTAAAAAAAGACAGTAATAACACTATGCGACTTTGCACGGCACTTTAAAACAACCCGAGCAAAATGGTGCCAGAAAAAGGGCACCCAGATTGGCCTGGATTTAGAGCTTTGTGGACAAATTGGGCTCAAATCTTTGCCTCTTATGGCCCATATGACTTTGCATATGCCATTTTACCTTCCTCGACTCGGTTTCTCAAAATATACATGGGGACCTTACCAGTCCCAAACCACTGATTTTGACTTATATTCGCTGTCCCCATGCCTAACCTCAGTTTGTCAGCCTGGAAACTGGGCACTTCGATGGTACCGTTTCACACTGATGCTAAAGGGTCCGAGACAGGTCTGGGTAATAAACAGTACATCTGGATAATAAATAGAAAAAAAGTAACTTGCCTGGACTCGCCAGAAACTGCCGCGATGTGGGGAACCCCCTCTGTGGCTGCCCCAGGGCCAGTGAAGGGTCATTTCCTTCCGCGTTCAGCCCTGCAGTCACTTCTGTTTGTCCCCCGTAAGTGCGGCGGCGCCGGCAGCGGGGAAATCGGGGCCAGGCCGGATTTCCTCTGCGGACCTGCAGCTCTTAGAGCCGCCCGCCCCTCCGGGACCCCGCGGGGCCGTGAACTGCACGTGCAGCCGCTCGGGGCCGGGCCTCGCTCGTACTGGGCTCCCTCAGCTACTCCTCTCTCTCCGGCTCCTTCATCCCGCCCTCTTCAACCCGCCCCTTCCCAGCCGGGATTCCAGCGTAAAGAAGATGCTTCACTCCCTCGCAGGTTCCGGATAAACCGAGTCACGCCAGGGAGCCGTACGGGCGCTAGGACCCCGCGGCTTGACCGAGGGGGGGCGTGGTGGGGCGGGAGAGGTATTTAAATTGGAGCCCGAGCCGCCCCCTCGCGGGTCGGACTCCCGTGGGGCAGTGGAGCGGCCGTGCGCCTCCTCGGGCCGTGACCCCGGAGTCTGGCGCCGGGTGGGACCGGGGGATAGGTTTGCGCAAAATGTGCCGGGGCTGCCGGAGAGAGGAGCGGCGGCCGCGCTGAGCCAGGTAGGAGACGCCCAGCGGGCTAGGCTGGCCGACCCCCTAGGGAACCAGCTGTCCTGCGCCCCCCTTGAGCAGAGGGCGTGGAGCCGGTCTGGGGCTAGTCCGCCGCGCTCACCAACAGCCCCCTCCCGCCACCGCCCCTCATCTTGCGCGTGGAGCCAGGTTTGACCCTCCCCTTGGCCCCAGAGGTCTCCCAGGCTCCTGACTCAACGGATCTTTCCCGCGACGGGGTGAGGCTGGCGTTCCCATTTGACAGATGGGAAAACATCAGCAGAAAGGCCAGCACTTGGCGGGAACACACAGCTAGTCAAGAGCAGACCAAGATTTTAATCAAGGTCTCCTACCATCCTCTGACCTGGCCCCGCGTGGGGCTTCCCATTCCATCGCACCAGAGAGCCTGCCTACCTGGGTGGGGGGCACCCACCTCTTTCCAAGGGGCTCCAGAGCCAGCCTTCTTCATGGGTGGTAAGATGTGAGGGACCCCCACCCCCACCCTGAGCTGCCTGAAATTCTGCCATCACAGCCACATTCCTTTGGGTTAAGGTCTAATTCGTGGGATGCACATGTTTGCCCTTAGTGATTCACTGCTCTGTAGGGGCGTCCACAGCAGCTCTCCCAGGACCCCAGGCTGCCAGTGATCCGGGATGAAAGGAGGGGGAGGAACACCTAGAGCCTGTCTGCTTGTGGATGTTGGGGGCAGCGGGTATTGCAAGGGGTTAGAGAGGAAGATTTTGTCCTGGTGTACTGGAAACATTTGATTTGGAGGCAGACAGACTGGATTCTGATCCCGACTCTGCTATCTATTGCCTGTGTGACTTAGGGGTAAGTCACCTCTCTGAGCCTCGTTCTCCTCATGGGCAAATTGTGGGCAGTTCTATAGGGGGCAGGCAACTCAACGCCTGCTGGAGAAAATACAGCATTTGTGTGGTGTAGACCTGGGCTAAATCCCAAAACACTAATGAGCTAAGTAACTATAGGCTAAGTCATTTTATCTGAGCCTCAGTTTTCTCATCTGTAAAATGAAAATCGTAACTATGTCATTGGGTTGTGAGAATTGATATGATATAGGTTAAGTGCTCAAAGAGTGTCTAATATCCTTAAATAATGAAAAGCTTATTATGATAGTAAGCATTGCCCCCACCTCATCTCTCTCTCTCTCTCTCTCTCTCTCTCTCTCTCTCTCTCTCTCTCACACACACACACACACACACACACACACACACACACACACATATTCTTTGGCACTTCTTACAGTCAGAGTCCTAGGTGGTCTCTCTCCTCCTCTTGCCTAGGCCACTTGTCCACAGGCCTTGGGCCTCTGTCCTCAGCACACCTTGCCTGGGCTGCTCAGCCCTGCAGGTCATTGTACCAGCTGGAAAGACCATATGTGTCCAGGGCACCTTCACAGCCATTCTCAACGTGATAATCACAACAGTTGAGAACAGTCAGTGGCAGAACAGGAACCAGGCTACTTGCCTTACCAATGAGACACTGAAGCATGGAAGGGTTAAGGGACTTGTCTAAGGAACAGGCTAGGGAGCAGTAGAGTCTGGATGTAAGCCTACTTCTAAGTGACCCCGGTCCTCCCTCTTGAGAGTGAGTTGTCCACAAATTCTACACACTGTATCTTGGGCACTGCTGATGGATGCCCACAGCTGATGGACCTCCTTCTTTCCAATGCCATCACAAAATTCCACTATTAGAGTGATGGTTCCTGCTGGATGTTCTGATGCCCACCTTGGGGGCAGGGTGGGATTTGGCAGGCAGAGGAGGGGAAAATGAGGGCCCCTTCAGGCAGCAATTCAGGTTCAGAACTAAGCCAGGCCTTTCCTTGTCCGTACCTCAAACTCACCCCTCAACCCATTTCAGTAGAGCTTCTATCCCTTGCTCTGCCTTTTGTTCAATAGATCTTTAGTGAGAACCACTTAAAAGACTCCTGTTCTCATATAATAAAAAATTAATTATCAGGAAATGATCAATGCAAGGAAAATAAAGCATATGAGGATGTGGGAGAAGAGCATTCCAGGTGGAAGGAACTGTAGGGCAAAGGCCCTGAGGCAGAAATGCACTTGCTGTGTTTGAGGAATGGCAAGAAGAATGGTGAGAAAGCTAGAATTTGGTGAGGGAAGGGCAAGTGGTAGATGAAGTCAAAGAGGAGAGAAGCAAAGCCTGGCTTATATTGGAGGGTTTCAAGCAGTGAGATTCATGATCCGATCTATGATTTAACTTCACCGCTCTGGCTACTCTGTGTAGGATAGTCTAAAAGGGGTCCGGGTGGGAGCAGGGTGTTGCTGTGGTTGAGGCCCAGGGTCATGGTGGTGCCTCTGTCTGTGGCAATGATGTAGGGGGCAGGTAGGCAGATCTTGGGGCTGTTTCTCAAGGAGAACAGATGGAACTTGCTGACAGAGAGAAGGAGTGTGGCAGGGAGGTGAAGGGAGAGTCAAGGAGAACTGCTCTTGCCAGTGTCACCAGGTCACTGAGACTCCTCATGTCAATTCTCAACACCTCCCCCTGCCTGCCCAGTGGTTTGAGATAGGTCCCAGAGAAAAGAGATGCCCCTCTGCCCTCGGGGCACTTCCCACAGGAGTGTGTGGGGACGGGCAAAACACAGAATGCTCAGTGCTGCGCTCACTGACAGCTCAGGGGCCACACTCGGGCAACCAGAGGAGCCTTCTCAGAGGCGACATCTAAGCTGAGACCCAAAGGATGAGAAGGTATTCAGCACAAGAGAGGGGAGGAAGTGAGGGTTTGGGGCAGTGAAGGAAAATAGGAAGCGTCCGGAACCCAGAGCGGGAGAAGGGACAGTGAGAGATGAAGCTGGAAAGAAGAGTTGGCCAAGCACAGTTCACTCCCCAAGGGCCTCACGGCCCCATCGAGGGGTTTCCACTCAGTTCTGAGTATACCAGCTTTCAGATGGGCGGTGATGTTCTGCTTTTTAAACAGCAGAACAAAATTTCCTGTGAAAACCCAACCTGTGATGCAGGTGAGAAGAGAGCAGCTGTGGCGGCAGAGGCCCGGCTGAGGGCAACCCGAGGGGCAGGGTTTAAACGATCGCTGTGGCCCTGGCCCATCTGAACAAGGAAGGACCTCACAGAGAAATGCCTCTTCTAAAGCATCCTCAATTCAGCGCTCATTTATTGAGTACTCGTGGGAGACCGTATAGTGTAGAGGTTAAGGGCACAGACCTCGAAGCCAGACTTGTTAGCTGTGAGACTTTGAATATGTCACTTAATCTCTCTGAGCCTCGGTTTCCCAGTCTGCAAAATGGAAATGGTAATCATGGAGCCAAACTGTTGAATTATCGTGAGGATTAAATGAGTTAATACATGTAAAATGTCGAGAAGAGTGCCTGGTGCATAAGGGCTCTGCGCGTGGCACTTTCATAGAATATATCTTACTTGATCTTTAGCAAAATGTGGCGAGGTTGGCATTAACCTCAGAAAAGGAAACAGGTTCAGAGAGGTGAAGTGTCTTGTACAAGTCACATAGCTAGTAAGTGGAAGAGACATAGGGAATAGTCGGGTTGGGCCACTCAGTCCATTGCTTTTGGAGGGCTTTATGTGTTCCTCCTTCGTAACGCTCTGTATGTATGGTGGTCACTTCTGTGCATTTATTTGTATCCCTAGTTCCCAGCATAGAGCCAGACATGAGGAGGAATTCAGTAAAGGTGCGAATGAACGAATGAAATTTATTAATTGATCTGTGTATTCCTAGCACTTGGCCCAGGTCCTCAGTGAGTGAGCCCTTAGCAGCACTGGGATTCCACCCCGCTGAGAGCTTCTGTGCTCTCCCTCCGCCTCTCAATGGCTGCTTATAGAAAGAAGGGCTGGTCCAGCAAGCCTGCATGTCTCTCTGCACTGGCGCTGGTGGTGGCTTCAGTGAAAGTAAAGGGCCTGGCAGTCTGCTCCTGGGGAAGTTCACTGCCACAGTGCTGGGGGCAGGGCAAGCCTCCTGGTGGGGCTTCCTGTCAAGGCTTCAGGCCCAGCATTCAAACAATGGCCAGACCTGAAGAATCAGAAAATCAAAAGAAAAAGGGCAAAATAAAAGTCCAGGAGTAGGGACCTTAAGGAATTCTGTTTGGGGCCTGAGGAGCTAGGATGGGGAGACCTGCTTGTGGCTTGGGTAAAAATGGAGTCAGAGGCCCAGCTCCCCATCTCACCCCACTCCAGGCCTGAGGTTGGCCCAGATTAGCCCTTAGGGTCCCTCTGCCTCCTGCTTACCCCCTCCAGATTGTCTTCCACCTGGTAAGGTCTTTCGAAACCCAAATCTGACCATGTCACCCACTGCTTAAAAAATCTTGCAGAGGGTGAGGGTGGTGAGGGATGACCTAGCTCCTTGGCTTAGCATTGGAGGCAGTTTATGATGGGCTATGGCCCATTTCCAACCCCCTTCATAAGGTGCCCTATTCACAGCACCTTAATTCTGGATACCTCTTTGGTCTGGGGTTGGGGTTTTGCCCGTCCCCACACACTCCTGTGGGAAGTGCCCTAAGGGCAGGCACAAACAGGACGGGAGGTGGGGACTGGCAGTGGGAAGGAGCCTGAGATTTTACAGTGTTCCCCCTTTCTCCCGCCCTATGCAGAGCCATGAGCCACCAGATTCTGCTGCTCCTGGCCGTGCTGATCCTGGGCCTGGCTACCTCCCAACACCGAGACAAGATACCCTGTAAGATGGTAAGAAGCCCTGCCCAGGCAGGGTAAGCTTCCTCCAGCACCCTCCCTCCCCAGGCCCTCAAAATGCCCTACTGTCCCAGATCCAGAAGCCAGAAGTTAGAGGAGTCAAAAGAGGAAAGAGAATGCATTTAATGCATTTAAACTTTGCATTTAATGCACACCTGGTAGAATATTTAAATATCTTATTTACTATTAATCTTGCCAGGTTAAGCCTCATTATTTCTATTTTACAGAGTTGGAAACTGAGGCTTAGAGAGGTTAGATAACTTGTGTAAGGTCATTCAACTAGGACCAGTTGGGCCAATATTGGACTCTTCCCCCAGCTGCCTCCATAGGGCATTGGGTCCAGCTGGATGATGCAGAATGTGTGTGTGTGTGTGTGTGTGTGTGTGTGTGGCGGGGGAATTTGGGGTGGGCCAGCTGGAAAGGGCTCTTCTGTACTAGGTCCCTCCCGAGGACAAATCCTCTTTTCTAACTGGGCTTCTTGACTTGGGCCTATCTTCCACATCCCTCCTGGGAACTCTTTCACTCATTACTGCCCAGGTCAAATGCTGCCTGTTACAGGAAGCCTTCCTTGATCTGTCCCAGGCTGGTCTGGTTCCGTTTGTTCCATTTTTCTTGGCTTCCACAGCCCCAAGCTTCCCTCCATTGCAATACTGACCACGTGGTATAATTGACAAATGGGTCCAAGCCTGTCTTACCTGCCAGACCACGAACTTTTTAATGGCAGGGACCAGATTTGTTCCTTTTTCCTTCCCTGAGCCAGTGAGACTAGCCCTGACGTTACTGTGACTCTGTGGAGTACAGGGAAAAGGGACCACCTAGGTCCACTAGTGAGGCTGGATAGTCACTGAGGTCCAGGTAGGAGCTTGAGCTGGGGAAGAAGAGACAGGCCCTGTGGCAGCCACACCTAGACTTAGGACCAGAAGCTATGACACAGAGTGGGCAGCTTCTTCTGGAGGCTGGGTGTGCTGGCAGCCAGGGCCCAGCAGCCCTTCCCTGGGGTTTAGTGTCCTGCTGTTGCCACCTCACTGCTTGCTCTTCAGAACCCTTCTGAGATTCCCAGAACCCAGAATAATAGGCAGAGAAGGCCTCAGATATCACCAAATGCAGCCCCGTATTCTACCTTGGGAAACAGAGAGATAAAGGGCCTGGGTTACCTAATAGAAGGGAGAACTGGGTGAACTTTGGATTTGGGGAAAATGAGGTAATAGGCAAGAAAGTACTTTCTGAACTACTATGGAAGGAATTATGATGGTTTTCAAAATAGTAAAAAAAGAAATTGCTACATGCTGAGGGCTTTCTCTCCTTTTCTCCTACCCGGAATTCCTCTTTTCAGCTGAGAAAACTAAGGCTGAGAAAAGAGATGTGACCCATCAGGGTCGTACAAATAGGAACTAACAGAGCAGGATTCGAACCCAGCTCTCCCGAGCGTATGCTGTCCACTGCCGGGTGACTCTTCCTATCCCGTTTCCCTTTTATGTGCAGGTGGTAAAATGGAGTTGGATGGCAAGTCCTCTTCCTGCCTAAAAATAAAAAATTTAAAAAAAAGCTGGGCTGTGGCATCCTGGTATCTCAGAAAGAATGGGTAGGGGGTTGTCAGGGGAAGATCCAAACTTGGCTAAGGACTGATTCCTCCAAGACCCCTCCCATGCAAGTCAGTCATGCTGGGGCTTAGAGCTCAGGAAGTGGCAGGCACATGGAAATGGAGTGCTGAGAGCTGCCCTGGCCTTCAAACTTCTTCTCAGACTGGACTGAGAAGGCATCCCAGGGCAGCTCTGTCTACCTGCAGCCTCCTCTGGACCTCTGAGAGGGGTCCTAGGTACCTGGGCAGAAAGCAAGGCTTAGGCTCTGGGCTTGGCGGCTCTGTGTCCTGGCTCAACTCTCAGGGAATGGTGCCCCAGGGAGCCTTGGAGTCTCCAGAGGGTATAGGCTTGCACAGGACCATGTCCCCAACACACTAAATATTCAGGAAGTGGTGGCTGATGTAATTTACTGTACTGAAGGACTCAACCTGGCTGCTCAACCAGCTGAGGGCCCAGTGGTCAGAACTTGGCTGGCACCAATAGGAAACAGAACTTGCAATGGTAGTTTTGAGCCTCTGACTATCTGATTTGGGGCAGCCCACCACCCTGAGCCTCAATTTCCTTAGGGGATACAACGGGGTATATGTGCCTTAGAAGATTAAGTGAGGCAAGGGATCTGTGTTCAGCACAACCCTGACACAGAGCTGATGCCCCACAGTTAGTGGCAGTCATTGTGTTCTTGTTCATTTCTTCTTTAATCAGAATGGTCCGGGAGCTGGGGACAGGATGGGGAGGCCATCTCTAGTTGCCCTAGCTGGTTGAGAGGTTGTGGGGGAGGAAGGAGCAAGGAGCCGGCCAGGACTGGCAAGGTGGCTGGGGTAGGTTTCTGGGTGCCCTACTGCAGAGGTGTCCCTGAGCCTCTAAGTAGGCCAGTCACTGGGCCACACGGAGTACGAAGAACACACAGATACCTGGTGGAGGGTAGTCTGTTTCTCCCCGCTCCTCACCTTAGGAAGGAAGCCGAGAGCTGGGCCAGGCAGGGACCCCCCCAGGGTGGTGTTCTTCCCCTGCTGGCTCAGCTGCTGACTCCCAGTGATCAGTACAGGTCACTGCCATCTTCAGGCTCAGCCTCCCATCTGGGAAGTAGGTGGGCCAGACCCTTTTTGCTCTAACAGTCTTTGACTTTAGTCTGAATATATGAATTATCACTTTTCTTTCCTTTCGGAAAGGTAATTGAATCAATCCTTCAGACCTTTATTAAGCCAATGATGTCTGTGACATTTTCATTCATTAAAAAAATTTACTGAGTGCCTCTGTACGCAAGGTCCAAGACATTTACATCAATCAAACCAGTCCCTGTTTTCTTGGAGTTCACTGCCTAGCGGATCCCCACACAGACAGTCATGATTCAAGGGCCAAAGCTATGACAGAAGAAGCACAGGGGCTATGAGAACCCAGAGGAGGCCCTGACCTGCCTGGCAGTCAGGAAAGGCTTCCTGGTGGAGGAGACGCTGGAGTTTAGCATGCTGAGTTCACCATTCAGATCTGGTTGAGAAGGGCATAACAAACACAGAAAACAGCAAGGAGGAGGCCTAGAGGTGGGCATGGGAGGGCACAGTGGGCGGTGGTAAGGTATGGAAGGTATGGTCACTGCCTATGGCCTGGGCTAGTGGGTTGGAAGGAGAGAGGACAGAGCAACAGTAGTCACAAACAGCCTTGAACCCTGCTGAGGTTCCTGGACTTGGCCCTGGAGGGGTTTAAGTAGAGGGTAGCATAGTCAGAGTAGAGTTTTCAAGTCGTTGCCAGGCATTTGGCTGGCGGATGGGTCAGAAGAGGTCAATAGAGACAGAAGCTGGGGCAGGAGTGGTCCTGAGATGTGTGGTGCTGGAAGTCAGGCCCTTGGCTGGGAAAGGCTGGGTTTCCTGGTATGTTGGAAAAGACGAGAGGGAGCCCGCATTTGCGTGGAAAGAATTCTGGCCCCAGAAGCCACACAGGGTAGAAGGACAAAAGTGGGCCTTTCGTTTGGATTCCAAACTCAGTCTGCTCCTTACCAGCTGAGTGATCTTGGAGCCTATCTTCACCTTTCTGAGCTCGGATTTTTTAAATAGGGGTGATCATATTTGATAGGCAGGCTATTGTGAAGATCCAACGAGACAGTGGGTATGAAAATGCTAAACAAAATCTAAATTGCTGAGTGGGTGCTAGGGAAGGATAGACGAGTTACTTTCTGGATAAGAAACCAGAGTGGTATATGGCTTGATCGGGCTACACAGCAAAATCATAGTTTTGCCATCAAAGAATGTGGGTTGACACCCTGGCCATCCTTCCCCTGCCCCCTACTTCTACCCTATCTCCAGGGGCCGATAAGGACCAGGCCGCAGGAAGCAAAGTCACTAATGGGGGGTGGGTGTAGGTAGCAGCAACAGAAAGGAGGTCACTTCTGGGAAGTGTTACCAAGGAAGGCAGGCTCTGGGACCTGCAGCTGTACCCCATGGAATGAGGGCTTGAATGAGATCTGAGGGTCGGAAGCTGAAAACTGATGACAGGAGTGCAAAATGCATTTTTCCGTTTTGGAAACATTTTCCCCAAAGTGTATTAATCTCACCTAACGCCAGCTGGGTAAATTTAAGTATCTGGGCCCATAGAAGGAACTCAGGATGAGGAACCGGGAGGCCTGGGTCCCAGCTCGCCTTGCTCCTCATTGGTTCTAGGTCACTTTAGATGATACATGGCTCAGTTTTCTGTAAACTGGAATAATCAGGACAGAGGTTTTTGTTAGTTCATTTATATTTCTATTTGTCCGTCATCTCTGCTGTCTACCCATCAAAGATTTCTTGAGTCCCTCCCTGATGCCAGCGCTATATTGGATGCCACAGACAGGGCTGGGAATGGGAGGGGGTCATTCAGAAATGGGGTGATTAGGCTGGGGTAGAGGAATGTCGAGCATCTGGAGGCCAGGGAGAACCCTGGTGGGAGCTCAAGACATCCTTCCTAGAGGCTCATGTCTGGTTCCGGCTCCTACTGCACCCATTAATGCCTGCTGCTCTCCCTGCCTCCTCCTCCTCAGGTGGACAAGGAGGTCTTGTGCCAGGGCCTTGGCCTACTTCAGGTCCCCTCGGTGCTTCCTCGGGACATTGAGGTCCTCGACCTGTCTGAAAATCAGCTTTGGAGGATCCTGGCCTTGCCCTTGGGCTTCTACACAGCCCTCCGTCACCTGGACCTGAGCTTCAACGAGATCAGCTTCCTCCAGCCCGGTGTCTTCCAGGCCCTGTCCCACCTGGAGCACCTCAACCTGGCCCACAACCGCCTGGCGCTGAGCACTGGTGGTCTAGGTCCCCTGCTGCATGTGACGTCCCTGGACCTGTCTGGGAACAGCCTGTACAGTGGCCTGATGGAGCGGCTGCTGGGGGAGGCACCCGCCCTGCGTACCCTCGTGCTGGCAGAGAACAGCCTGACGCACCTTGCCCGTCAGACCTTCTGGGGCATGCCTGCGCTTGAGCGGCTGGACCTACATAGCAATGTGCTCATGGACATCGAAGACGGTGCTTTCGAGGCCCTGCCCCACCTGACCCACCTCAACCTCTCCAGGAACTCCCTCACCTGCATCTCCGACTTTAGCCTCCAGCAGCTGCGAGTACTGGACCTCAGCTGTAACAGCATCGAGGCCTTTCAGACTGCCCCAGAGCCCCAGGCTGGGTACCAGCTCACCTGGCTTGACCTGCGAGAAAACAAACTGCTCCACTTCCCTGACCTGGACGCGCTCCCAAGACTCATCTACCTGAACGTGTCCAACAACCTCATCCGGCTCCCTGTGGGGCCACCCCAGGGTGGCGAGGCCATCCACGCACCTTCCGAGGGCTGGTCAGCCTTGCCTCTCTCAAATCCCACCCGCAACTCTAGCACTCACCCCCTCTCCCAGCTCTTGAATCTGGATTTGAGCTACAATGAGATCGACTTCATCCCAGAGGGCTTTCTTGATCACCTGACCTCCTTGCGCTTTCTGAACCTCAGCAGAAACTGCTTGCGGGCTTTTGAGGCTCAACGTGCAAGCTCCCTGCCCTGTCTTGTGCTCCTGGACATCAGCCACAATGCGCTGGAGACACTAGAGCTGCACACCAGAGCCCTGGGGTCTCTGCGGACACTGTTCCTACAGGACAATGCCTTGCAGGACCTGCACCCATACACCTTTGCCGGCCTGGCCAGCCTGCAGAGCCTCAATTTGCAGGGGAACCGGGTCAGCCCCTGTGGAAGGCCAGGTGAGTCTGGACTCTCAGGCTGTGTGGCCTTCTCTGGCATCTCCTCCCTCCGCATCCTGAACTTGGTGAACAATGAGATGGAGATGCTCCGGGCAGGAGCCTTCCTTCATACGCCACTTACCGAGTTGGATGTCTCTGCCAACCCTGGGCTGGATGTGGCCACAGGGGCCCTGGCAGGCCTGGAGTCCTCCTTGGAGGTCCTGGCCCTGCAAGGCAATGGGCTGGAGGTCCTGCAGGTAGACTTGCCCTGCTTCAGCTGTCTCAAACAGCTCAATCTCGCTGAGAACCGCCTGAGTCGCCTGCCGGCCTGGACACAGGCTGTGTCCCTGGAGGTGCTGGACCTGAGGAACAACAGCTTCAGCTTCCTGCCAGGAAGCGCTATGGGTGGCCTGGAGACTAGCCTCCGGCGCCTCTACCTGCAGGGGAATCCACTCAGCTGCTGCGGCAATGGCTGGCTGGCAGCCCAGCTGCACCAGGGCCGCGTGGACGTGGATGCCACCCAGGACCTGATCTGCCGCTTCAGCTCCCGAGAGGAGGTGTCCCTGAGTGATGTGCGTCCTGAGGACTGCGAGAAGGGGGAGCTCAAGAATGTCAACCTCATCATCATCCTTACTGTCGCAGTGGTCTCTGCCATTGTTCTCACCACACTGGCCACCTGTTGTTGTGTCCGCCGGCAGAAGTTCAACCAACAGTACAAAGCCTAGAGAAGCCAGAGCTGCAGAACAGCTCAGCCGGGAGACCCTCGTGGGGCAGTGGGGGAGCCAGAGGCACAGGGAATGGTAGGGATTGACGCAAGGTCCACAGTGAGCCAAGGTCTCAGAACCCTGGTCTCTAAATCCCACCCCAGGGCTCCTTTCCCTGCATCCTGCTGCATCAGTGGGTGATCCACTTCCCAGATCGCACATGTGGTCCAGTGGAAGCCAGAAGTTGAGCAGTTTCAGAAGTGACAGAGAATAAGGTTGACCGATTGGATCAACCAAGCTTTGCCAGACATCTGTTCTGTGCCACACCCTGCTCTGGGCACTGGGGACTCTGGTGAAGGAGACACATCCCTGCCCTCAAGCATCTCCTAGTCTGGGTGGGGAGGGGGTCACAGAGCCATGCAATGACCACACAGTGTGGAGCCCAGGGCTCCAAAGCTCGGCAGCGGAGTCTGCCCTGGCAGGGCCAGGCGGGGACAAGGAGGCTCAAGACCGAAAGGATTTGTCCGAGATGTTTCCAAGCAGACTATTTGTCACATCTGATAATGACTTTCAGCTTCTCTGGAACATGACGAGCTTGTGACCGGAAGAGAACTAGAGCCACATGAGTACGTCCTGGATCCAGCATTATTAGGCGGGCTGTGGTGTCTCCAGCAGGTCCTGGTTAAGAGGCTGTCGCCCTGGGCTTTGGCTAGCACTGGACCATTTCGTTTCCTGGTCTGGACAGGCTCTTTCTGCACCCGGCACTCTCATGTTGCACACACTGGCCCGAATACTGCCTTAGCCCACACTTCCTGCTTAGGCCCCCTGCTCCATTCCGGTCCCACCCTGGCTGGAAAGGCAGGAGTTGTAGCCTTAGGGCTCTGGTTCTGTTTTATACCAGGCTTGGCATCTGTAACAAACCCAAGCCTGCAATCCGCCTCTTTATGACAACCCTCTGAGGCTGGTTATTTCATCCCATTTTATAAGAGGCTCCAAGTCTCCCTCCATGGTTCCCTCAGCTAAGAAATACCATAACTGACATTTAGACTCACATCCTCCTGACTCCAGGGCCTGAGCTTTGCTGCTGCGGAGGCTGTAGGCTGTCAGGTGGACAGGAAGTGGCCCTACATCACTGGAACAGGGCCTGGGAACATCCTGTGCTGTGCATCCCCACCTGCTCTTCTCTCCCGGGCAAGCAGAGAGAAGGCAGGCAGCCACATGCCCTCTCCTCTTTCTCTGCCTCAGTTTCCCTCATTTTCTCCATTGCAGACTGGTATGGGTTCTCTTTTTTCTCTTCTTACTATTGCATTCCTTCATTCCCTCTTTCTCCAGTGAGCACAGCCTGGAGCATGAGACTATTGAGTCCAACCTCCCCATTGCACAGAGAGGAAACAGACTTAGGAAGAGAATGGGCCTTACTTAGAGCTATACAAGTCAGTAGCAGAGTCTGTGAAAAAAGTAGATTTAGATCTCATCGGGGTATGTGTGGGGGAGTTTGGGGGTTGGACCTGAGTGGTTTTCTTCTCTCTCAGCTGTCACATCACAAGATAACGCTGGCTCCAAATGCTCTTTCTGGTCTTCATCATGCAGGGATTTTTTCCCCCTAGAAAAATAGGTAGAAAAATGCATCCAGATTTAACTTGTTGTCCCTCATATCCATGGAACCATGGGCTGTCCAGGAAGAAAGGGGGCCTTGGGATCTACCCAGGACCCCATACTGTTGTCTTTACCTCCCACCTCTGTTTGGGTGCTGTCTGGCTCAGGATAGTGCTCGGTAAAGTGAGAGATAACGAAAATGCCTATCTCTCTGCCCCATTTTGCAGATGAGGAAACTGAGGCCCTGTGAGGGTCAAGGACTCAGGGACCTGGTGTCCTGGCTCCAGCCTGGGGCCCTGGGGGTCTGGGGGACCCAGTCCTAATTGGGATCAGGACCACAGGTGCTCACTGCACACAAACACTCTCAGGCTTGGGGGCTGGTATGTTCCTCTCCAAGCCTGATTTTGAAAACACTACATAATGCTGCTCTCACCTCCTAGGAGCCAGGCCGCTGCCCAGGCCTCAGAACCAGCTCTTTGTATAAACCACACGAATGTATTAAAAACTAATTTTGAAGAAATGATGCAGCCTGCTAGCCTCCTCCTTGCTGTGGGTAATTGGCACCATGGCATCCACTCGAACCCTGCCCTCCTCTACATCCGTTATGGTTTTTGAGCCCTCATGGCAAACCCCTGGGGCTGGGGGGATTACTGAGGGGGAGATGGAAGCTATGGGCTATCACTACCCTGGACCTTGGGGCCTCAGCCCCAGTCACATCCCTTCCCATTTGACAAACCCTGCTTCCTCCCCTACCGCTGAGAAAATGGTGGCTTTCAGTAGGAACAGTTCTGGCCTATGCTCTGTGCTCACACCCTCTGCCCCTCCTCATCCGCCCTCTCTCGTTCGCTCCCTCACTGTCCTCTCTCCTCAGCCCCTCCTCTCTAGCCACTTCATCCTCTCAGACTTCAGCTGCGCTCAGGTCGTGTCCATCTTAAACACACTGAAGGTGTCCTTTGCCAAACTCCGTGCGCTTTTCCGTCCACACCTCCTTGACCTCTCAGCTGTGGGGTTCCCTCACCCCTATCCCCCCCATCACCCACGCCCTCCCCTTAGCACACTCCCCCGGCATCTAGGACCCCCACACGTGTTTCTCACCTTCCTCTCAGGCCACTCCTTTTCAGGTTCTGCTAAGTGCTCAACTGCCTATCTGCCTGGTGCCATCTGAATGGTGACTACCAGGACTCCCATCCAAGGCCCTCTTCCCTGGGGAATATCATCACCCTCATTACCATAGCCACGCGTTGCTCTGATGATGCCCATGTCTCTGATTCCAGCCCTAGTCCCTCCTGAGCATCCAGCCTTGATACCCTGATACCCAGAGACCTCCCCAGCTAGAGAGCTGAAGGTCTCTCAGGGGCTGGAGAATTGAGAGTGAGCGGCCAGGCTGCAGGTCAAGGTTGAACGTGGAAGAAAACCAGGAGGGTCCAGAAGGGCACTTTTGGTTCCTTGAAGGGAGTCGGAGGGTGAGGGTGTGGGCTCTGGGGTCTGGTGAGAGGGGACAAGAGCCACCTCATGTGGGGTGGCAGGCAGGCGAGGGGCTCTAAGGCAGAGTCGAGAGGGCAGGGAGAGGCTCCTCCACCTCCCACTTTGTCCTCATGTGGCCTTACCTCCCCTCCCCTCGGGTGACGACAACCTCTTCTCCCCCAAGTTCTAGCCCAGTGATGCTCCACTCCCCCCACCCCCCAAGCATCCTGGAGATCTCTCCAACCCGGCTTCTTTGGGCTGTGACCTCTCACCTCCCATGTCCCACTCCCAGCTCCTACTCTCCAAAGGAAAATTTTAAATGCCTATTTCATAGATGGGGCTGAGCAGTGAGAGGGCATGTGACTCAATGCCCTGTCACACAGGAAGTAGGTGCTCAATGAAGGCCTCAGGGAAGGCAGCAGTAGGCCCTGAGCTCGGCCCAGGGCTGTGTGGGCCTCCCATCCAGCTGGGAGCCCACCAGGCCCCTGACTCCTTTTCCCAACAAACAGGGGTATTTGCTCACCTGGTCAAGACCCCCCCAGTAAGGCAGAAATTTCTATTTTCAGCCAAACATGTACACAGCTGCCAACTAGGTCATCAGAGCATCTGGCAAGTTCCAGGGAGAAGGGAAGCCTCTGCCTGCCCAGCCACAGACAGCACCAGGTCACCGGGCTCATTCAATTCAGTGAGCTGTTATGAAACTCCAGGAGGCAGGAGCCAGGTTTGCAGGCCAGGCAGGATGGCAGGAAAGCAGCACCATGGCCCATGACCGCCTCCCCTTCTCAGTCCTCGGTGCTGGCGCTGGCGCATCTCCCTATGGACCTGGGATCTGCTCTCTGCTTTCTGTGCCCCTGTCCTTTAAGTGGCTCTCAAGGCCCTACAAGGCAAAGCCCTGAGTCCTCCAGCCCCATCTCTCTCTGGCTGCTCCCACCTTGTGTTCGGAGAAGACAATTATTGAGCAATTCCGGGGGAGGCCTGGGCTGAGCACTGGATATACATTGGTGTATATAATTCTAACATTTTTGAAGAGATTTCTGTTATTATCATTCTCATTTTAGAGAAACTGAGACTCAAATTCCCACTGGAAAGTGCCAGAGCTGAGGCTTAAACCCTGGTTGGTCCCTTTCAGAGCCAGTGATCTCAATCACTGGCACCACTGTCTCTTGATCCTCCCCAATTGGCATCGGGCTCTCCCCTCCTCCACGTGAAATGTCACACCCACTATGACCCACCTGCCAAACTCCCCCCTTTCCAGCCCCTCACTTTGCCTCCTCTGGGGAGACTGCCCTGATTTCCCTCTTCCAGGCGCTCACAGCCCCTGGCTGCCCTCAGCTACAGCATTGGAATGTCTGCCTGATCTGCCACCAGGCCGGGAGTTCCTGGAGGGAGGCCTACCCAGAGTCCTTTCCGTGTCCCTACGACCCATGAGCCAAGGCAGAAGGTGAGTTCAAAAAAGTTTTCTCTAAAGGATGACCCCTGCTCTCCAAGACTTAAAAACTTGTGAGGGTTAAGACCAGCCCTCAGAAAGAGAATGGGGTGACAGCCTTCTCAGACAGACCCAGGGGAAACAGAAGACAGAGGGGAATGCAGGATGTGGGCTGCCCAAACGCAGCAGCGGTCAGTGGTGGGGCAAAGAAACAATCTTCTCTCCCCACCCTCCATTTCCCTCCAGTTTCTTCTTGCCTCTAAGACCCTATGTTATCTTCCCCTTCCCCCTCCTCCCACTCTTCTCTTCTCCTTTCCCTTTCTTGGTCATCTATTCACCTACCCCCATCTCACTGGAAGCAGTTGGGGCCGTGGTAGCTGAGAACAGGGACGGGTGAAAGGGAGGGAGGCCCGAGCTGTTTATAGGAACTGGAGCAGCTCCATCCATCAGCTGTTTGGAGCTGGAGACCAAGCATAATAAATGCCTTGGCTCCTCCCCAGCTGTGCTTTCCCTGAACTTGGCCATTCGAACTCCAAAGATCTCTGGCCTGCTGGTTCTCAGGACCCAGCTCCCACCCCACCACACCCTGCTCCCACCTCCCACCAAGCTGCCCTGGAAAGAGCCCTGCCTCTGGGACCAGAAACACAGGCCTAAGTCTAGGCTCTGCCACCACTTTGCTTTGGGCACAAAAGCAAGTCAAGCAACTTATCCTCGCCTCCGTGTTCCCATCTGTAGAATGGAGTCATAATCACTGTCCTCCATACATGCAGCACTGTTCACATGTTAGGCCAGAATGCCTTCAGCTGAGTCTTGGTGGGATCCCAGGACAGTCAGACAGAGCCTCTGCTTCTCTGGTGGAGGGAGGGGCCGCACCACAGCACAAGCAGGAAGTGGTCAGCACCACGAGGGAGGTCCAGATTTTGTGTTGGGGGAGTTGTTTGCAGCAGGGAGTGGCCCTTCCAGCTGGAGGAGTGAGGTGGACTTTGGGGACATCTGGGCTGGTCCTGGAAGGAAGGATAGGATTTTATCATGTGGAGATGGAGAAAGGCTTTTCCAGGCAGAGCGAATGTGTGAGCCAGTTGGGCAGTGGGAAAATGAGGCCCTGGGTCGGGCAGAGAGGAGTCTGCTTATGTCCAGCCTCCATCCTATCACTCTCAACTTTGTCCTCTCTGGTCCTACAGCAGCTTCTGCTTTGACCTTCCAGCCTTCTGGAATTTTCCCTCCCCTAGAGAATGTCCAGTTCATCCAGCTCTCCCAAGTTATGGATGCATTCCCGGAATTCTTCAGTCATGTCCCCACTCCCACTTCCCCCCAAAAGCCACACTAGAAAGTAAAAGATTCAGATCAGGGGAAATGTCATTAGCCAATAGCACATGTTTCTGGAATGAATAAGGAAATAAATGAATAAAGGAATAAATAAAAGACTAAGTCAATGACAAAGAGCATATGTGAATTGCTAAATTCAACTGAAATTTCTTGAGCTCCTGCTACAAACCATGTTAGGTGCTGTACACACAAGATTCCTCTCCTCGTGGTGCTATTTATTGGAGGAAATGGACATTAAATACACATGCATACTTAAACTTGAATAAAGACAAAATGGCAAATTGTGATGAGAACCATGAGGGGAACTAATAGGGAGACGTAACTGAGATGGACTCAGAGAAGTCTATGAATTTCCCAAAATGTTTGGGGAGAGCAAGAGCTGCACTCTAGACCCTGAGGTCCATTTTTAAGCACTGAAAGCAACCTCCTACACTGAAACCCTCCCATCCTCCCGCACCCTTACTGCCTTGGCTGTCCATTCTAGAATTATGGAGAAAAATATGAAAGGCCACGTGGTGGTAAGAGGGTAGCCAAAGAAGGGATCTCAGGAGTCAAGCATTGTATGGGTAGGGGGCTAGATAGGCTGCACAGTAAGAGAGTCTAGTTCAAATGGCCCCTACTTTAAAATTTTTGGAGGGGGAGGTAGAATGGGCGTGGCTCTCTCCTCCATTCCTGTACCACCCATGTCAGTTTGCACCAACCCACCTCTTTCACTCTAGGTAATTTATTAACATTCTCATATCTAACCTTCCGTATGTTTTTTTTCATAATCAGATAATCATTGACAGACATTTAAATTATATGCACATATACATATGCATTTATCATTGTTTTATAAGAATGGGATTCTATTATATCCATTTTCCTGTATCTTGCTTTTTTTATTCAATGATACTTCAAGGAAGTCCCCTCAAACAAACTGATATATCTCTGATTCATAATATTCCATAGTGAGAATATTCCATAGTTTATTCAGCCATTTACCAACTGATGGGACACCAACTTTGTTCTTTTCCTGCAACTGTAAACATACTGCAAAAACATCCTCATTCATAACCCGTAGTCTCTGGGACTTGTATTTCTATCAGATAAGTACTTATAAGTGGGATTCTAGATCAATGGATAGATTATATATATATATATCATGTGTAATTTTAATAAAGCTTACTTTTCAAAAAGACAGTAATGTTTCACATTTCCATAAGCAGCTTATGAGAGTATCTTTTCCATTTCTATGGGTTTATTATCAAAATAGAGAAAAGAGATTGATTTTTGTATATTTATCTTATATCCAATAACCTTAT